AACCAATAAAACTTATATGTATGTATATAGAGAGAAGTTTATCTTAGGAAAAAGGCTCACACACTTTAAGAAGCTGGCAAGTCCCAAGTTCTTGGATCAAATGTCAAGCTGGAGGCTTTTCCCTACTCACGCAGCTGCAGGGGCTGATGAGCTCAAGATTGGCAGGCAGTATTGCGACAGTTGACTCCAACGATTGATAAATACAAGGTTACCAGGCTGAATGGTGGATTGTTTGCTAACGGACAGTTTTAGGCAGTATAACAGGATCCAGATCCACAGAAGAATCTGTCTTTTCCCCAGGATGTTCATGTTGTTGTGTGTGTGTGTGTGTGTGTGTAGGAAGCAGGCTACACCCCTAGGGAAACTCCCTTTCAGTGGATTGGCCGCTCAAAACATATACATCTGATCTCATCATGGAAATAACCACATCACAACTGCTTAAACCACTCAGAATTGTGGTCCAGCTAAGTTGACACAACTCCCAACTATTACAGTCCACCCCTTATCAACTTGGTAGTTATACACATCTCCTTAATCACATATAACCTCTAAATAAGGACAATTATAAAGTCATATTTGCACCTAACATGATACACTAACATGCGTACAACCAAAACGTATTAACCCTGTTTACATTTCATAGTTCATAACAGAAGAAAACAAAAATATTTGATGCACACATACAATGAAGAAATATAACAATCACAGCAGTTTTTAATGATGCTTCACAAATTTATGTGTCCCTCCACAAATTTATTCCTCACTGTACTGGTGAAAGATGTGTCTTCTGGACTCTGCATTTCTGGCTCTAGGGGTCTAATTTCATAAATCCATTCTAACACACCAATTTCCCTAAGCCTCTGGATACCTTCTTCTACATTATACAAAGTCAGGTCTGGTACTTCAGCTTGACTTAAGGTAGGCCACCGTATAATCCATGCTTCAGTAAGCCAACCAGATAAACAATTAGATCCTTCCCTAACCTCTTGAGCTGAAACATTGAATGAAGAATCTGTACTTAGTGGATCTAAATCAATAAACTCAGATCAATCCAATGTTACATTCCTTGCACCATTATCCCACACCCTCAGTAGCCGTTCCCATACGTATTCTCCAGGTTTCTGTCTGTACATGTTAGGAAAATCAAGTAGGTCTTTTCGGGTGTAGTATATCACTTCCTCAGTCACACTTTGTATTTCACCTTTTGGGGCTTGCTTGGGTTTAAGTTTAGTTATGAGTCTAGCAGCAACAAGGGTTGGTTGGGGCAGTTCCTGAGAACATTCAGCAATGTTTTCCATGGCATCTATCTCAGGCAATGACCCAGCAGGAACAGTTGAGTTAATCCCATCAGATGGAGGGGAGAGCAGATAATGGTTTTATAGTAATCCCTTCAGATGTGAGGGATGGTGCTGTTGGCAGGAGGGATTCAACAGAATTTACAGGCTCCATATCCTCATCTTCCTGACCGTTTGCCTATATGTACCCACCCCAGGTTTCAAGATCCCAGTTTTTCCCAATCAGTGTCCTCACTTCAACTTCACACACCATTCTGTGTTGGCAATTCAATCAGCATTGTTATTCAGCCACCCTTACAATAAGACTCTGGGTTTGGTTTTCGGCAGTATCAGCTGTTACTGGAAGAAATAAGGCTTTCCTTCAGAGCACAACTGGAAACATTGAGGTCTTTTATGCGATGCTTGAGCTGTGACTCAGCAGCCCTGAACCCATCTTGCTCTTTCACCACTTAGTCTAGTGTAGGTAGGACCAACCAGCTTCCTTATATTCCTCATGCTGACAGAGTTGCAGAA